TTGGCCCGTATCCTTCCAACTATAATATATTATAATATACCTGACTATCTTCTACTACATGCTGAAACAGCGCCGGAAAGCTTTTGTTCCGCATCTTGGTTGCACTCTGGCAGGTCACGGCTCATGAAGAAGGCCGCGCCATTGCCGTGCACAAAAGCCTACGGATGAGCCTACAACAGTGGGGTTTAGGGTTTAGGGTTCAGGGTCACATGCAAGCATGCGGTCTTGCATCCGCTGCTCACACGAATCTCGTGGTGGGCCAGAGCCTAGCACAGCAGGACTGCTCAGAGCAAATATAGGGATTGTATAGGGATAATGGAAAAGAAAATGGCAACTACTGTAGTATTATAGGGTATAATATATAATATTATACTATACTATATTAGACTATATTATAGTATACTATCTTGACAGGCTTCCAGAGCTCGCTCAACTCTGCGTGCCTCACTTTGAGCTGCTGGCCCAAGCATGCGGAGTGGGCCAGCGTCAGATTCAAATAATTACGCTGCGCCTTCTGTACCTTACAAGTTCTCGTTGCGGGTATTTGCAGCTGTTTGGGGCTGTTGCATGAAAAGCTGCATGGCCGACTTTTGTAGATGAGAGGCACTTAAACAGTTGGAAGGGTCAACCTCCATGGAGTAGCCCTCCGGGTAATGAAGCGCCTGCAGTCCAGAAATCATGACTAAACAGAATGGAACGAGAACTCGGGCTCCAGCCTCGTTCAAATAGATTTCCGTGGGCGCGTCCTAGAGCACAAACAACTGCACTGGACTGAAGCGATCATACAGACCCTGCTTCACGCGGACTTCCTGCTACAACTTCAGGACGTCAGAGCATCCCCAGATATCCCCTATATAACGTACACTATCCCAATATGTTGCCAATATTCCATCTTCTTTTCTATTATCCCTATATACCCCTATATAATATAATCCTTTAAATATAATCGCAAACTTGCCTGCCTGTACCGTCGCCAGGATTTTCTTTTTCATTATCCCTATATAACCCCAACATACTATAGTTGTTTCCATGTTCTTTT